AACAAAATTTCACATATCACACGCAGCAGAATTTTCACTGATACAACACCTCAGGCAAGAGAAACAAAGAAAAAAATTAATACATGGGATTACATCAAATTAAAATGCTTCTGCAGAGCAAAAGAAACAACCATCAGAATGGAAAGGGAATCCACTATATGGGAGAGCATAATTGCCAACAATACATCAGATAAGGGGTCAATTTCCAAAATATATAGAGTACTTATACAACTCAACAAAAGGAAGACAAAGAACCCACTTAAAAATGAGCAGAGGACCCAAATAGACACTTCTCCAAAAAGGACATACAAATGGCCAAGAGGCATGTGAAAAAATGCTCAGCATCACTAATCATCAGAGAGATGCAAATTAAAATGATTATGAGGTATCACCTCACACCTGCCAGAATGGCTGCCATCAACAAATCATCAAACAAGTACTGGTGAAGGTGTGGGGAAAAGGGGACTCTAGTACATTGCTGGTGGGAATGCAGACTGGTGCAGCCACTATAAAAATCAATATGGTGTTTCCTCAAAAAATTAAAAATTGAATTGCCATTTGACCCAGTGATCCTACTTCTAGGAATATACCCTAAGAAGCCTGAAACAGAAAGAATATATGCACCCTTGTGTTCATAGCAGCACTATTTACAATTGCTAAGATCTGGAAACAGCCCAAGCGTCCATCAGTAGATGAGTGGATAAAAAACCTGTGGTACATATACACAATGAAACATTATGCAGCTGTAAGAAAGATCTCTTATCCTTTGAGACTACATGGAGGGACCTGCAGAGTATTATCCTAAGCTAAATAAGCCAATCAGAGAAAGACAAATATCACATGATCTCACTTATTTGTGAAATATAGACCCGGAGAGATAGAAAAGAGTATGGTTCAGACAGACAAACCTCAGAGGAGGGGGTGGGGTGGGGGGATGCGATACACCAAAGAACTTATATGCATGTATGCATAACCAATGGACATAGACAACAATGCTTGGAGGAGGGGGTGGTATAGGGAGGAGGGTGTCTGTGGAGAAAAAGGAGAAACATCTGTAACAAAAATAAATTAATTAAAAAAAATTTTTTTTAAATAGCCAAGAGGTAGAAGCTATTCAAATGTCCATTGGTAGATGAATGGATAAGCAAAATGTAGTATACACATGCAATGGAACATTATTCAACCTGAAAAAGGAGGAAAAAATCTGTCACGTGCTACAACATGGATGAACGTTGAGGACATTATGCTAAGTGAAATATGACAGTCAGAAAAATACAAATTCTGTATGACTCCACTTATATAAGGTATCTAAAGTAGTCAAATTCATGGAAAAGAAAGTAGAATGGTGGTTACAAGTGGCTAAGGGGAGAGGCAAGAGGGAGTTGTTGTATAATAGTTATAGAGGTGCAGATTTCCAGATTTGTTTCACAATAATATGAATATAGTTAACACTTCTGAACTATACACTTAAAAATGGTGAAGATGATAAATTTTGTTTTATGCTGTTAACACAATAAAAAAGAAAGAAGAAAACTTTAATATATGCCACAATATAGGTGACTTTGACATTGTGCTAAGTTAAATGAGCCAGAAACAAAGGGACAGATACTGTATGATGCCGCTGATATGAGTGCAGTAGAATAGACCAATTCACAGAGGGAGAAAGCAGAGCAGTGGTTGCAAGGGCCTGAGGAAAGGGAGATCAAATAATTTGTATTTAAAGGGTACAGAGTTCCAGTTTGAGAAGATGAAAAAGTTCTAGAGTAGGATGGTGGTGACAGTGTAGCAAAATAAGGTGAATATACTTAATGCCACTGAACTGTACACCTAAATGTGAATAAAATGGTAAATTTTATATTAAGCACATTTTACCACAATAAAAAATTACTTTTTCTAGATAAATACTCTCAGTAAATCTCCACTTACCCTCTAGTTGGGGGAGCGAGAAAAGGGGCACCGCTCTTATTTCAGGGCAGGAATGGAAGACAGGGGTCTTCCCATCATTTCTAGGGGCAGAGCCCCAGGCAGTGAGAGGTGGGGAATGGCTTTATTCCTCTGTTCTCCTGATCAGGGCTGCTACAGTCAACATGTTTATATCCTGCTGGGCTACACTTCTCCCAGACTTTTGCTAGAAAGAGTAGCCTTTGAACCCTGGCCAGTTTGGCTCAGCGGTTAGAGTGTCGGCCTGCGGTCTGGAGAGACCCGGGTTCAGTTCCCACTAAGGGCATGTACTTCGGTTGCAGTTTGTCCCCGGCCCTGGTTGGTCGTGCGGGTGGCAGCCACTCGATGTGTACCTTCACATCGATGTTTCTCTCTCTCTCTCCCTTCCTCTCTCTCCCTCCCACTCTATCTGTACAAAAAATGGAAAAATGTCCTCAGGTGAGGATAAAAAAAAAAAGAAAAGAAAGAGTAGCCTTTGAAAAGGGGTACATATATATTTTTTTCCATAGGCAGCTATAAATGTTCTCTGGGTTTCAGAGCTGACATGAATATATGAGGGAAATAAATAAATAAATAAATAAATAAATAAATAATAAAAAACAAAAACAGGGAACTCACTAGCCACTTGGTAGTTCCTTAAGTCTTAAGAACCCTAGCCAGTCCACCTTCATTTCTCCACATTTCAGAATTTTCTGCCAGTTGCTTTGTGAATTTTGCCCAGGTTTTTAAGATATTTTTATTTTTTGTTTGTTTTGTGAGTCTTGGAAAGAATTGGGGGAAATTTACTCACTACATTTATTTCATCTGGAACAAAAGTTCCACTAGCTACACTTGCTACTTTATTACTGCCCAGGTCCTCTTTACCAATTTAAGTAGTTAACGACATTTACCACTTAGTGATTCTTGAGATTACATTTTTCCTGTTCAAGTTACTTATGTGATATTCGTGTCCTGACTCATGTTTGAATGTGGATTCACCAAAGAGAAATGTATTGGTAAGGTCATAAAGTTGGAATGTACATGACAAAGCCAGGATTAACTAGATTTTCTGACCCCAGCCTGGGGTTCTTGACATTGCCCGACAATAACAACTGTTCCATGCAAGATGTTTGAATCAGGGTTTTGAAACAGGATGTTCTGTCAGAGCCCCTGGGTTCATTTGTGGAAGTGCCTGGTGGTCATGGCATAATGTAAAGGTGCTGAGCCAGTGAGCTCCCAGCACATGGTCTTTCTCTCGTTTCTGTGAATTTAACTGTGATGTATGTGATCCTTCCACGTCTCCTCCACTGTCTGGGAACATTGCTCAGACAGAAGTATATTGTACTCATGTGCCTCTCAATAGCACTAAGAAGAGGGCTTGGAATATAGTAGGTGTCCGGGGACTGTTAGCGAAACATATTGCTAGGTAGTACATGGGGTTAAGTCTTAAGCACGGTTTGCAATGGAGACAAATTTGAATTATGTGTGGACTTTATATAGAGTATGTATGAATTATGAGCTTATAATTAAGAATGTAGGCGTACATGATATATAGAAACAATCACAGTGAAGCAGCAAAAATGAGGAGACAAAGAAACATGTCCCAAACGAAAGAAAAGAACAAAACTTCAGAAAAAGAATTAAACAAAATGGAGATAAGCAATCAGTCAGATACAGAGTTCAAAACACTGGTTATAAGGTTGCTCAAAGAACTCAGTGAGACATTCAAGGAACTTAGTGAGAACAACAACAACATAAAAAAGAACCAGTCAGAAATGAAGGATGTACTAACTGAAATAAGGAATAAGTTACAAGAAATCAATAGTAGAGTAGGGAAAGCCAAAAAGCAAACCATCGATTTGGAATATAAGGAAGCAAAAAACACCCAATTAGAACAGCAAAAAGAAAAAAAGAATCCAAAAAAATTAGGAGAGTGTAAGGAGCCTCTGGGACAACTTCAAGCTTGCCAACATTCACATCATAGCGGTGCCAAAGGAGAAGAGAGAGTACAAAAAATTGAAAACCTATTTGAAACAATAATAAGAGAAAACTTCCCTAACTTGGTGAAGGAAACAGATGTACAAGTCCAGGAAGCAGAGAGTCCCAAATAAGATGAACCCAAAGAGGTCCACACCAAGACACATCATCATCAAAATGCCAAAGGTTAAATACAAAGAGAGAATCTTAAAAGCAGCAAGAGAAAAACAGTTTGTAACCTACAAAGGAGCTCCCATAAGACTGTCAGCTGATTTCTCAAAAGAAACTTTGCAGGCCAGAAAGGAGTGGCAAGAGATATTCAAGGTGATGAAAAGCAACGACCTATAACCAAGATTACTCTATCCTGCAAAGCTATCATTTAGAATCGAAGGACAATTAAGAGTTTCCCAGACAAGAAAAAGCTAAAGGAGTTCATCACCACCAAACCAGTGTTATATGAAATGTTGAAGGGTCTTTTGAAGGACAGGAAGAACAAAAATATGAACACTAAAATGGCAATTAATACATATCTATAACAATTGAACCTACAAACAAAATAAGCAAGAAGAACAGAAACAGACTGATAGATACAGAGAACTTTTTGTTGCTTGCCAGATGGGCGGGGGCTGAGGAAATGGGTGAAAAAGATGAAGGAATTAAGAAGTACAAATTGGTTGTTAGACTAATGAACCTCAAAGGGAAGCAGGGAGGGAGGGTGGGATGAGATAAACCAGAGAACTTCTATGCATATATGCACAACCAATGGACAACGACAATAGTGAGGGGAAGGCAAGAGGGGGGCGGGATTGAAAAGGAGGGAGTCAATGGGAAAAAAAGGGGGGACATCTGTAATACATTCAACAATAAAGATGAGTTAAAAAAAAGAATGTAGAAGTACAGATATACACTTGCAAGAGAGAAGTGGTTCTTGTGTGTGTGTGTGTGTGTGCATGTGCATATGTGTGTGTGCACACTGTGTGCACATGTGGCATATGACCCAGGAGAAACTCTCTGAGGCCTGTCCTTTCTACAACCTGGTCCAGGCTGGTCATTTTCCATGCCATTGGCCTTATCTCCTCCCCACCCAGGCCCTGCTTTTTTACCTTATGTATACATCAGTCTGCAGCCCAAAGGCCCCATTTTCAACAGCTTTCTCAAAGGACATTATGGTGTTCTCAGGTGCCAGCTGTGGAAGGAAAGGACATCAGACCCTCTACCTCAGAGTTTCTTCTCCCAACATCCCTTTTATAGCAGGGAGGAAGCACAGCAATAAAAGGGCTTTATTAAAAAATAGCTTTTGGCTATTTTTTCGAAGAGCCTGCATATATGCCCATCCACCCAATATGATTCTGGGATTCTGCTCTTCTAAGGCAATGTCACTGGGCACATTAAAGAAAAATGGACTGGGAGTTAGGTGACCTGGGTTTGAGTCCAACATTTATAATGAACTCTTTATTCTTGTCATCAAAAGCCAACCCCTTTTTCTCTCCAGAGATTCCTAAGGTTCTGAGGTCCCTTTCTCTCATCCATAAACCCATACACACTGTACTCACCCACGTCCATCATGCTCAGACCTACCATGGGTGCACCTCTATGTCCAAAGAGGTCTGGTTTGGGTCCCAATTTATTCTTCTCCACAAGGCAGGGAGAATAATATCCCCATGGCACCACACACAGACATAAAAGGATAAAGAAAAAAGGCAATCCAATAGCCACTTGTGCAGCTGAAAAGGTTGGAAGGATTGAGGGGGAGTGAGAAAAAAAGATAAAGAGGAATGGAGACTCATCCCAAGCAACTAACTATCCCAAAGCAGCAGTCAGTAAATACCCAGCGCACAGGCTTCATTGACTCTGGACTGCCCGATTTACTATTTCCGTCACATCCCCATTTATTTTCAGTGACCTGACAGTACAGGGCTATCCAAATGTGAGCATTATCATTAAGGCAATATTATTCGACTGAAAATTCACAGGAAATGAACTGTGCAAGAGGTGGAAGGAAGGAAGGAAGGAAGGAAGGAAGGAAGGAAGGAAGGAAGGAAGGAAGGAAGGAAAAAGCATGTTAAGGGTTAGTTTCTCAGGAGTAGGAGTGAAATGGCTGGTGCTGAGAGAGCCCTGAAGCCTGTAAACATCAGCCTAGAATGGCTCTATATGTAAGGCAGTGCAGTACAGTGGAAGGGGCACTGGCGGACAGAGTCTGAGGTCAAAGCCAGACACTGCCACTGTCTAATGTGTGACTATGGACACACTGCTTAACCACTCTGGGTCTCCATTTTCTTCATTCTGAAAAATGGAGCTATCTTGCTGCTAATGATGACCTCATAGAGTTGATATAACAGTGTTTACCCATAATAGGTACTCAATAAATATTAGGTATTTGACTTTCTCTCTCTGTCTTTCTGTCTCTGTCTCTGCCTGTCTCTCTCTCTCTCATACACACACCCACACACGCACATGCACACACACGCCTCATCCACAATGCCTGTTATCCCTGGCCACTCTCCAACACTTATTATTACAGACTGAGGTTTTTACCCATTTGTGCATTTTTAATTTACCACCTATTCTTCAATCACTTTCAAATCTGGATCTGCAGCTCTAACCTCTCAGCTTTGTGACTTTATTACATCTCTTCTTTTCTTTTCTCTTGAAAAATATCATCTGGTCTCTCATGAATCTAGCTGAAATTTCAGAAATGAGAAAGAAAAGAATTCATTATTGTTCCCTTTAGGCTCTTTCCCCAAAATATTTCCTACAATTCACCCTCCACATACACATATATGTGTACACACATACACACAGGTACAAACACACAATGGCAACACAACCAATCCAGTCATTCTCGTCTCCACCCTTGTGCAACCAGGAAGCAAACAATCCTTGTTTAACCAACAGTAAAAAGAGACATTAAAAAAAAAGATCCTACTGGTTTCTCAGTAAGGGTGCTGTGGGATAACTCCATTCTCAAAACAATTTAATGTACAGCTCAGATTTTCTTATGTTTCCATGATATTGGGGCAAAGAATGGAGAGAAAACCAGTGGGAGACGAAGACATTTCTGCTTCTGCTATAAGTTCCCAGGTGTGACAGGAACTCACAGGGACCTGATTTGCATTACTAGAATGTAACCAGGGATATCTGGACCTAGTATGAGTTCATTAGCTGAAGCTAGTAATATTTCAATACAATCTAAAGAAACTGTGACTAGTACCATCACTCTGTCACATAAAATTAAAACGGCCTCTATTCTCCCCCCAACCCCTTTTCATTTCCACACAGTCACTGTGTAACAACATGAAGATACTTCTTACTTTCCTAGAAGGAGAATCCCTCTTTAGAAGAAGGCCTGTTTGATCAGGAAAATGTTCTGACAGTCCACGTGGAGTTGTGAGTTTGGCCACAAGGAGCATGCCTGAGCAGTAAACTAAAGGAATTTCAAAGCGGCATAGTGGTGGCTCTCTACCAAGCTTGTGTTTCACTGAGCAGAGGATGCAAGCTAAAGCCAGAGCTGAAAGGATAAGGCTCCACCCACATGACGTACCTTCTTGTTCCAAAGTGACCAAATAGAAGGCCACGGGATAGGAAAGGAGAACCATCATGGTTATGCAGCTCAGGTGCATGTAGGGAGCAAAGACCTGGGAGGAAGCCAAAAGTCAGGCTGGCCACACTGGGCAAACAGTGCTAGACCTACAGGATGATGCTTACCTTCAGTGAGAGCCCAAATGTCAGCCACCTGTCATTCCAGTAAATGCATAAAACCGCCATGAAAAACGTGCATATCAGAATCACTAGCACAGTCAGGATCTGAGGAAACAAACAAAAAATCTCCTGACTTCCAGGCACCAGGCTTGGATCGGAACTGTCCATGGGAATTGTATGTGTGTCCCCACAATGTCAGGGACCTCATTTCCTCATCCTTTTAATCTGACCATCCTGCACATCCCCAGTGCTGGGTGGATCCAATCATTTACCTTCTTTGCTCCCAAGTCTTTGTTGTGCAGCAGGGCTAGAAACCAATTCCACAGCTACCTGGTCTGATGTTTACTAACTGTCATCTCCAGCCTCAGCTGGGCCCCCAACATTGCCTGGCATCTCTCACTCAGTGTCAGCAACGACCATTACAGATATTCACTACTTTTTTTTATTCAACTCAATACAGTCCCAAGTAAATAATATTTTATTTATTTATTATTTAATTAATTTATTTTTGTTACAGATGTTTCTCCTTTTTCCCCTACTGACACTCCCTTCTCCCTCCCTCCCCGCCCTGTCCCCAGATTTGTTGTCCATGTCCATTGTTCATGCACACATGCATATAAGTTCTGTGGTTTATCTCTACTCCCCCACCCCCTCTTCTGGGGATTGTCAGTCTGTACCCCACTTCCACGTCTCTGGGGCTACCCCGTTCCTCAGACTGTTATGTTCATTATATTCCACAAATAAGTGAGATCATGTGATATTTTTCTTTCTCTGCTTGGCTTGTTTCGCTTAGGATAATACTTTCCAGGTCCCTCCATGTTGTCTCAAAGGATAAGAGATTTTTCCTTCTTACAGCTGCATAGAACTCCATTGTGTGTATGTACCACAGCTTTTTTATCCATTCGTCTACAAGTAAATAATATTTTATAATTACCTTTTCAATGTATGTTTCCCCCAACAGACTATAAGCTTCATCAGATATAGGATACTATTTATGTTGTATACTCACTGTCTTGCAGAATGTCTGACGCATAGTAAGCATTCAGTAAATAATTTTTGAATAGATGGAAAGAATCTGCCTGCCAGAACACTAAATACTTCACAGAGAAAAAACAATGAGACAAAGTAGATATAACTTATCTTCTTTCCCTTGAAATGTCTTTCTACATCTGTCCTGCTTTCTAGAGAGCACTTAGTTCCTTCTTTTCCATAATCTCTGTATTTGTTAAAGTAATTATATCCATAATTGAAACTTCTCACAAAATAATTCCAGGTCTTGCTGGCATGAATGCTTAATTTTACCCAACATTTAAGAATATTTCCAATCTTTAAAAAACTCTTCCAGAAAATAGAAAAAGAGGTAACACTTTCTAACTTCTCTTATGAAGCCAACAAAACATTAATACCCAAACTCTACAAGGACATTACAAGAAAGAAAAAGTATATTCATGTGCCACAATAATGTTGCAGTAAAAAATAAATCATGTATACGATGGTGGTCTCATAACATTAAAATGGAGCCAAAAATTGTCTATTGCCTAAGTGACATTGTAGCTATGGTAATGTCACTGCACAATGCATTAGTCAAGGGTTTTTATAGTGATGCTGGTATACATAAGCCTACTGCATTGCCATTTGTTTTTAAAGTTCAGACCTTTTGTTTTTTAATCCTCATCTGAGGATATTTTTCAATTTATCTTCAGATAGAGTGGGAGGGAGGGAGAGAGAGAGAGAGAGAGAAAGAGAGAGAAACATCAATGTGAGAGAGACACATTGACTGTCTGCCTCCTGTACGACCCCTACCAGGGCCGGGGATTAACCGCAACTGAGTTACTTGCCCTTGACTGGTATGGAACCTGTAATTTATTGGTCCACGGGCCGATGCTCTACCACTGAGCCAAATTAGCCAGGGCAAAAGTTTAGTATCTTTTAAACATATATGTTTATATATGTTTAGAGACACAAATACTTACCAATATGTTATAATTTCCTCTAGTATTCAGTACAGTAACTTCCTGTACAGGTTTGTAGCTAAAGAACAAAATGCTATACCTCATAGCTTCAGTGCATAGTATGCTATACCACTTAGGGTTGAGTAAGTACACTCTATGACGTTTGCACAGTGATGAAATCACCTAAAGATACATTTCTCAGAATGTATCCCTGTTGTTAAGCAACATATGAATGTGTGGGCCAATCTCTCCTATGCACATAAACGCAAAAGTCTTACATTTCCCATTAGTGCATCACAACTAAACACATCACAACATAGTGCTTTAACTGTCAAATCAGACTTACATGAATCTCATGTGATTCTGTGATCCTAACCAACACCAATCTTAACTAATAATTTAAAGGGTGCAGGCATTTATAAGGTACAGATAAACAGTTTTCCTTGGAGAAATCTGATCCTGTCAAATGCAGATGCTCATAAAAAGTTATTTTCTCTCCTATGCTAGGATACAGTCTGGTCTTGGACTTAAAATGTGTGGTGTGTTATGGGCAAAGTATGTGGAAACACTGCTTCATAGAAGGAGGCTTTGTGGTTATGGAGCATCCATATATTACATCCCATTAATTATATAATTCCAGCCAGCCATGTTTCCCCCCTACAAATCTATAAGTTCCAGGTTTATTTACAATAAGCAACCCAGTTAGAAATTTTCATAGATAAGAATTCATGGTTATTTTTTTTTTTTTGGCTAATAAGTATGTTTAGTAAGTGTGTTTCCCAGAAGGTTGGGTTATTAACATGTTTACAGGAGTTTTGATTGAGGTCATTCATTTCTCTCTGAGCATCCCTAGATAAAAGGGGAATGGGTTACAGGCCTGGTGCTAACCCTTTCTTGCCAGGTTTATTCTCAGTACACTAAAACTAAAACTCCAAGCCCTACAGAATCTCCCTTGCCAATAGAAGCAGACTCTCCTCCCAAGTTTTATAACCCCAGTCCTCATGGTTTGAAGGCCTAACCAATGCAGTTAGTTCCAAGGAAATGCCAAGCCTTCTCATACCCCACCTCTCTCTCTTCGCATTGCCTACAGACTCAAACCTGGGATAAATGATCAATGCCTTAAGAGATAAAGGCTTTATTCATTTATATTGACAAAAGCCCTGTAAAATATGTGTGAGAATGAATCCTAAGGGTGCTAGGCAAGGAGAAATAACATAATTTTAGATCGGGCTATGTAGTGATATGTGTATATCTACTACTCCTGTGAATTAAAGTTTACCTGAATCCAGGTATTATGCATCTCAAATTTGTTCTGTTTCTGTAGTTGTCTAAACCTTGGCTCAGAAGTAGCTTATGCTTAATGAAACTAGGATGCCAACAATTTCTTGGTGTAATATAGAAGAAAATATTCAAACATTTATTGAGAAAAGTTTGGTGAAATGCTATCACCCATGATAAGCTAATCCACTCCCTATCATGTTCTAAAGGAGGTCTCAGAGGACACTGGAAATACACTGGTGAGGAGAGTGTCAGCTTCCATGAAGAGCGCTGCAGTGGCTCTCCTCTACGCCTGAATAAAGGTGAGAGATGCTGCCCTGGCCGGTTTGGCTCAGTGGTTAGAGCATTGGCCTGCGGTCCAGAGAGACCCGGGTTCCGTTCCCGCTAAGGGCACGTACCTCGGTTGCAGTTTGTCCCCAGCCCTGGTTGGGTCGTGCGGATGGCAGCCACTCGATGTGTACCTTTCATGTTGATCTCTCTCTCTCTCTCTTTCTCTCTCTCTCTCTCTCTCTCTCTCTCTCCCTCTCTCCCTCTCCCCCTCTCCCTCTCTCTCCCTCCCGCTCTATCTGAACAAAAAAAGAAAAAATGTCCTCTGGTGAGGATAAAAAAAAATGGTGAGAATGCTGCCACTGAAACTGGCTTCCTGAATTCAAAGGCAATGATGAGATCCTGCTGTGGCAGAGGCCATGTAGCAGCACTAACTGACAGAGACATGGTAGGCATAGTTTTTACAATAGGGACAAGCTTAGAATGGTTATCAGAATGGTTTATCCCACAGGGATTCTTTGTAGTGACTAGCTGATCATGGTGTCCCAACTCAAAAACAGACAGTGATCTCAATGAGATCTATTTTCTTCACTTCTCAATCTACATTGTTTCCCTATAAGACCTTATGACTTCAAAATCCATTTGTTCTAATAACTTAAAGTTATATTTGCAGTTGATATGTCTCTTGAGTACAAGAAAATTTAAGGAGACTACTCAGAAAGTTTGACATGTTCCTGGATTTAGGATACACAAAGAAATGTATCGAACCTATACCTGAAATAGTCTATAAAAAAAGCAAGAGGCTGTGGGTGGAGCTGCTCAAGTACAACGGAACAAAATGAAAGAGGCTATGTTGGAAATGACCTACATGTTCACAGATGGTAGGGCAACAGTGCCTACTGTCTGGGGACCAAAAAGCACCTTTGATAGAAGGCAAGCTGGCGCCATTTTTAAAAGCTCCAAATGAAGGGGCCTCACCAGACATAATTCAGGGGTATAGGAGGACAGGCATTGACTCCACCAAGAGAGTTGAAGTCAAGGTTCTCAGAGAGCTGAAGCAGAAGGGTCTCTGAAAATACACATAGAAAAAGGCCATGGGGTAAAGAGCCAACAACTGTGCATTTACCTGGTCCTGATGGATCAACTCCAGATGACCCTCTTGCCCTTCCTTATGGGACTGTGTTCTTTTATTCTGCTTCCTACTCCCCCTGAGCCCTCCTTTGGTGAGAGAGAGGTAAAAGGACCATCATGCTCTCTCTACCAGTGCAGGCTTCCAGCAGCAGGGGAGGGGGAAAGTCTTATAAAGTTGGAGTCTGGGTTATTACAATGAACTGAATTTTCAATGACTGACATGAGAATGTTCTTGACATTATATAGGACTGGGAAAGTAATGGAGCTTGCCTAAGACTTTACTGGGATGGGAAGAAGAGAGTCACAGAGTAAGTTTAATAAGGAGTGGTAAGAAAAAATAAAGTGTGGGTTCAGATCCTTCAGTAAATCAGTGACACCTGTTAGAATTTTAATTTCTGTTAAAACAGAGTAAGTCGATTACTTTTTTCTAAGGGGAACAATGAAGAAAGCACAACTCTGTACAGAACACTGAGTGCCAAAGGGACACATTCTGTCCTGGTCTAAGATCTCCTATGAAGATTCAGATGTCCTACCTTATGATTCCAGTGCAGGTACAGTTCATACCCTTCCCAAACCAACAAAAATCCAAGTATCTGACAAGACAAAGAAGAAAAAGGAGGTTATTTTGAAATCACCAAGCTGTGGCCCACAGCACTGTTCTGTGTTCAAATGCCTTTCACTACATTCACTTCTTGCTATCCTTGTGCTTTTCAACCACTGGGAGCTTGCCACGCTGTTCCTCTGTCTGAGAAGCTCTCCCTCCCCATGCCGCTGACCTTTCAAAGCCAGTTCGTATGTCACTTCCTATTCGTAACCTGTACCAGCACCCCCAGGAAGAATTATTATTTTCTCTGGAATTTCATAACAAACCACCACACTGATATCCTTCCTGAGTTCCTACCAATTCCTTTTCCCTGGGATGGACCTTATTCCTGGTATTACTTAGACCCACTTGTCAGAGAACAGAAGTCAGGGGCCAGGCCTTCCCAGGGTCATTTAAAAACTCTTTCTTAAAGAACAAGTGTCATGTTACAACTGTTAACCACTGTTGCTAACACTGGTATTTAGTCAATAAATCTTAGATTTCAATATAAATCTAGCCAGTCACCAAGTCAGTGTAGAGATAGAAACTGAAAACTGGAGTCCTCAGATGCTCGGGACATTACTAAGAGCTGGGATATATATGGCACTTACCTTTTTATCAAAATAATGTTATGTATATGATTTCATTTCTTCTTTACCCAGCCCTATAAGATACCATTATATTAAATATTATCACTCTCATTTCAAAGAGAAGAAACTGAGTCTCAGAAGAGTTACATGACTTGACCAAAGTTACAAAGTAACCCAAAGATAGAGCAGGAAACAGAACCTAGGGCTCCCTCTTTGTTCACTGATGTATCCATTGTATGCATCCCAAAAGGGTAGGATAGAGTAGGGTTTGTTTAAATATGCTCATTATTTGACAGTAGAACTCATGCCTGCCTCAGAAGCTAACACAATAAACAGCATTTCACGCTTGTGTATGAAAGCAGTACAATTCAGTGGCCAGTCTGCCCCAGACCACATCACTCATCTGCATTTTCCCCATTATAAAGAGAAGTATCTAACTGGTCTCCCTGCCTATAGTCACTCTCCACACCACAACTACCAGGGTAATTTTCCTAAAATAGAAATCTGATTTATGCCAAATGTCTTAGAGTTACTTTCCAGACCTTCCAAAAGCTGTCACAGGCCTATGTCTTCATCGTGCCCTTCATGCTAACAGAACTGACCTTTCCCTCTTACGTTGTCACACCCCAAATTTTTCTATCTCGCCAACTTTGTCATGATGTTCTCTCAGCCTGGAGTGTTCTCCACCCCTGTATACTCACATCCAAATCCAACACTCACTCAGGATCCCTCTCCAGTGCAGACTTTCCCAAGAAACCTTACTTAATTCTCTTGGTAGAACAACCTCTTCTTCTCAGAATCCATTTAGGTCTCTCTGATGACAATTATAATGTTCTGCTTGTGTTCGTTATTTTTTTCCATGATTAAGGTGCCCTGCTATATTCCAAACTCATTGAATTAAGGGACCATTGTAACTTTTCATCTTACACGTATCTCTTTGTAATGCCCTAAATAAAAACATGTTTTTTGGATTTCTGTATACCTAGCACTATCATTCAAATGATTAATACATTTGGCGGGGAGGGGAGAAAAGAATCCAAATAGCACTTGATTTGGAGGTTAGGTTTCTTCTGTGTCAGACAGGAAATCAGTGAGGACAAGAAATCATGATGTAAGAGAGTACATTTCCTATGCATAAGTGGGCACTAAGAAACTACAATTACCTAAAAGTTGTCCTCCCATAAGCTTTCTACTTCCACAGACCTTTCTCTTGCCCAGCCTGAATTTCTCCCACTACATGACATATACAACAGAAGCAGGGTCACTATTGCCAAAAATACATTTTGCTAAAATGTAATTTTCACCTGAACCAGCAGACTAGCATTTGCACTTTATAACAGGTTTTTAAAAACTAGCTAATTTGTAAGGCCCAGAATGACTGGTTCTCAGGAGAAGGGGTATGAAATAAGTTAGTTCAATATGTAAAGGTAATTCTAATGTGAAGCTATGGGTGCTTAAAATAACAGCATTGAGTGAACCATAAAATAGGCTATGAAACAGGGGAATAGAAAAAGAATGTTCTGCCACCCTTTCAAAGGGTCAAAGTGATAAGATGCATCCTCTAATAGCACAAGTGCATTCTTCTCCATCAATCCCTTGTGCCTAAAATTCAAGCAGTTGATGTAAACCCCTTCTATTTTAGACAAGCGTGAGTGATCTTAGGTTCTGAGGGCTCCCAGCACCATCAGGCACTGTACCACAAACAGGAGCACCTCATGAGGCCACTCAGGAAGGGGGTGGGAGAAACGGGGAACATAACTCACCAACAGTAACGAAGTGTAGGCAACCAGGATTGCAAATAAACTCAGCAAAAGAAGAGACCAGAAGTACCAGTATCCTGAAACTAGATAAACAACCCTGCAAAAACATGTTTCAATCCTTAAAATACAGTAGAAAGCAGTAGTGTCTGTGTCAAGGACAGGGTACAAGACTGAACTAGATGAGGCATAAGAAAACAGAAGAATATACAAAAGGAAGCATTTGGGGGAACGTACCTGTAAAGAGCTTTGGCCTGAAATGTTTCTGTGAAGAAATCAGCAGACAGAATTTTGGGAGCTCCCTTATAGGTAACTAATTGTCTTTCTCTTGTGGTATTTAAGATTCTCTCTTTGTCTTTAACCTTTACAATTTTAATTATGATGTGTCTTTGTGTAGGTCTCTTTATGCTTCCTGGACTTGTGTGTCTTTTTCCTTCACCCAGTTAGAGAAGTTTTCAGTCATTATTTCTTCAAATAGTTCTCGATTCCTTGCTCTCTTCTCCCTTTTCCTTTTGGTACTCCTATAATGTGAATGTTGTTATGCTTCATGTTATCACAAAGATCCCTTAAACTATCTTTTTTTATTATTATTCCTTTTCATTTTTGCTGCTCTGGGTGTTTTATTTTTACCTTGTCTTTCAAATCGTTGATTCAATCCTCCTCTGTTTCATCCAACCCACTGTTTATTCTTTCCAGTGTATTCTTCATTTCAGATATTGTATTCTTCATTTCTGACCAGTCCTTTTTTATGGTTTCTACATCCTTTTTCATGCTATTGAACATCCTTACAACCACTACTTTGAACTTATAGCTGATAAAGAGCTTGCTCCCATTTCATTTAGCTCTTTTTCTGGAGATTTCTCCTGTTCCTCCATTTGGGGCCTGTTTCATTGTCTCCCCATTTTGGCTGCCTCTTTGTGTTTGTTTCTATATATTAGACAGATCTTCTATGACTCCCAGTCTTCATGGAGTGGCCTTATGTAGTAAGTGTCCTGTGGGATCCAGTGGTGTAGTATCCTTGATCACCTATGCTGGGTGCTCCAGGAATGTCCTTTGTGTGGGTTATGTACGTCCTCCTACTGTAACTGAGTCTTGATTGTTATGGGCCCATTTGTGCCTGGGATCGACCCTCAGGCTGGCTGACTGTGAGGCTAAACCTGACCACAGTGAGTGAGCTGCTGTGCAGGTGCTGACCACATAAAGCAGAATTCAGCTCAGCACAGTCTGGTGCCTACCGAGATCTCCCTTTAGATATGCTATTTGAAGCTTATTAGATCCTGCTCTGATGTTGTCTAAAACTGGCCACTCATGGTGTTGATTCTGGGTCTCTTGGGAGGTACGCTGGTGCAAGCCAATGTCAAATGCTTCCTGTGACTGGTCCTGGGCAACCTGTTAGGTACTACAAACGATCCACAGTTTGTAGCTGCCTCTGCTGGGCCTGGTACACACAAGAAACACCAAGCTGTGCACCAAGGCTGGCTTTTACCAACACCAGGACTGGGGACAGGTCACCAAAAGTCCCAAGGCAACCCAAGATCAGCCTCCTCTTGCTTCCACCTGACTGCTAGGGTCAGTCAATGAAAAAGCCTCTGGCAGTACTCAAGTTGCATGTGGCAGGTTTACAGTGAGTCTCCAAGTGGGGTCAAGTGGTTGTACCATGATAAGGAGGTGCTAATCAGCCTTCGGGAAAGGTGGGGGTATGGCCCCCATACCAGAGCCACACAACTCACTCTGTCTCATACTTTGCCCCAACATCAGCAGGGTAGAGCCACTAGAAGTTAGGCAGGTTCATCCTCCAGAGCTCAGAGGGTGGATCTGCCAGAAGTCCAGAGGATGGTTCTAGCAGATCTCCAGTGAGGGGTAAGCATCAGTCAGCTTCACAGAAAAGTGAGGGGAATGGCCTCCTCCCCATAGCCACTTAACTCATTCACTGACACCCTCTGAGTCTGCACAGACCTTTAAACCCTGGCCAAGGCAGGTGATCCTCAGCAGGGCATGAGCTCCACAGGGTGGAGTAAAAGGTAATTGCTCTATTCTATAAAAGAGTTTTGGATTGTTAAAATAGTCCTGATGTGTTCTTTTCCAAAAGTAGTTTATGAGAGAAAACTACTAATGATTTGCTAAGAAAAACAGTGTTATACTAGGTCTAAGTATCATATATCAAAAATAGAGACTCTTGACTTCCAATCAAAATGGCAGCATAGGTAAACGCGGTATCACCTCCTCCCACAACCACATAAAAATTACAACTAAACTACAAAACAACCATCATTCAGAATCACCTGAAATCAAGCTGAATGGAAGTCCTACAACAAAATTAAATAAGAAACCACATCCAGATTGGCAGGAGGGGCGAAGGCGTGGGCCTGTGCTGGTCCCACACCTATGTGTGGCAGATAAAAATCAGGAGGGATACCTCAGCTGCAAAGGTCCTCCCTGAGAAGCAAGGTGTCCCCATCTCACACCAGGCAACCAGCTCAGGGTTCCAGTGCCAGGAAGAGAAGTCCCCATAACATCTGGCTATAAAAACCAGTGAAAACTGAGGCTAAGGCTCCTGGAGCCCCAGGCAGTTCTTCTTAAGGGGCCCATACATGGACTTACTCAGACTTACTTCTCTCTGAACTCCAGCATAAGGGAGGCATCTCAAAAGGCACCAGAGACATATAGGGGAAAACTGAGTTGTTTGGCATCAGGGTGAAGGCTGAAGAGGCAGCTTTCTCCTGTACAGACATGCTGATGGAGGTCATTGTTCCTTTGGTGAGCCCTTCCCCCACAAGGCCAGCAAACGGGTACCATATCTGGGACTCCAGCAATCTGGCTCACACTGTTTGCCCTGCCCTGGTGATTCCCTGAGGCCCTGTCCCATCCAACTTTCAAGCCCACCCAAGCTGTTACCAGTGGCTTTACCATAGCAATGTCCTGTCTTGTCTCCTGTTTCAGATTTTCCTAAATGCTCTCAAAAAAGCAGCAACTGGTCTCAGCAAGCCCCATACTTCTTACTAAGTGGCCCCAGGTTGGCACTAGGTGCAGCCAGCCTTGGTTTACAACTTGGCTTTGCCTGGGCACCTCTAAGCCCAGCAAAAGAAGCAGCCATCTGCAGACCACTATCTCTGTAGCTTATGTCTAGTGGCCCTGGGTAGAACACATGCAGTGGCTGACCTTGCCCCAGAGCCAGCACACCTAGTGAACAGTGTCAGACTATGGCAAAACACCACCACCTAACCACCTCCACAAGTGACACATTCAAGGAATGAACTCAGTGGGTACCAGAGCCTTGCTGAAGTAAGTCTTGCTCTATGTGATGGTCCGTTATGCAGCTGATCACCAAGGTAGTCAGACGTCGGTGTATAGTGGGCACAGCCAGTCCTTGCAACTGATCAGCCTGAGTAAAACCCTCCCATTGACATGCCAACAGAAATCAAGACTCAATTACAACAGAAGGGTGTAAAGTCCACACAAGAGGTGTACCTCGAGGGCCCAGCTGGGAAACAAGAGAGGCTGTGCTCTGGACCCTACAGGATACCTACTACAATTGGCCACCTAGCAAGCCCAAGAGACATAGCAACTCTACCTAATACATAGAAACAAACACAGGGAGGCAGCCAAAATGAGGAGACAAAGAAACAGGTCCCAAATAAAAGAACAGAACAAAACTCCAGGAAAAGAACTAAACAAATGGAGATAAGCAATCTAACAGATGCAGAGTTCAAAACACTGCCTATAAGGATGCTCAATGAACTTAGTGAGGGCCTCAAAAGCATAAAAAAATGACCAGTCAGAAATGAAGGATGCATAGTCAGAAATGAAGGAGGCACTAACTGAAATGAAGAATAATTTACACAGACTCAATAGTAGAGTAGGTAAAGCCAAGAAGCAAGCCATCTATTTGGAATATAAGGAAGCAAAAAACACCCAATCAGAACAGTAAAAAGAAAAAAGAATTTTTTAAAAATGAGCATAGTGTAAGGAGCCTCTGGGACAACTTCCAGCATACCAACATTTGCATCACGGGGGTGTCAGAAGAAAAAGAGAGAGCAAGAAATTGAAAACCTATTAGAAACAATAATGACAGAAAACTTCCCTAACTTGGTGAAGGAGACAGACATTCAAGTCCAGGAAGTACAGAGAGTCCCAAATAAGATGAACCCAAAGAGGTCCACACCAAGACACATCATCATCAAAATGCAAAAGGTTCACGACAAAGAGAGAATCTTAAAAGCAGCAAGAGAAAAGCAGTTAAGTTACCTACAACGGAGCTCCCATGAGGCTGTCAGCTGATTTCTCAAAAGAAAGTCTGCAGGCCAGAAGGGAGTGGCAAGAGATATTCAAGGTGATGAAAAGCAACAATCTACAACCAAGATTACTCTATCCTGCAAAACTATCATTTAGAATCAATGGACATATCAAGAGTTTCCCAGACAAGGAAAAGCTAGCTAAAGGAGTTCATCACCACCAAACCAGTATTATATGAAATGCTGAAGGGTCTTCTTGAAGAAAAAGAAGATAAAAAATATGAACAATAAAATAGCAATAAGTACATATCTATGAATATTTGAATCTACAAACAAAATGAAGAAGCAGAACAGAAACAGACTCATAAGTACAGAGAACATTTTGTTGGTTGCCAGATGGGAGGGGGTTTGGCGGGATGGGTGAAAAAGGTGAAGGGATTAAGAAGTACAAATTGGTTGTTAGACTGACAAACCTCAAAGGAAAGAGGGGGGATAAACCAAAGAACTTACAGGCATATAATGTAACCAATGGACAAACAATAATGTGGGGAAAGGCAGGAGGGGTGTGGGAGCATGGAGGGGGCCGTCAATAAGGGGAAAAGGAGGAACATCTGTAATAAATTCAACAATAAAGATACGTTAAAAAATATTAAGGGAGATTCCAAAATGGCGGCACAGTGAATGGAAGCTACACAGACTATCTCCCAGGACCAAACTGGAATTATAACTAAAATGAAGACAAATCATCAGGAAAAAACAAAAGTAGCTTGCAAGGACCATATATCCAGGGACACTGAATCGATCCTGGTAGGATAGTGAAGGCCCAAGAGCAGGGCTGGGAGCCCACAGACAGCAGCAGTCTTAGCTG